AATAATTAATTTTGGTGCAATTAGATTTTCTTTCTTGATAGATATTTTCTTTGGACATTTATTATCCCACAATACTGTTGTGGGATCATAGTTATTTGGGTAGTGCTATTGAAATAATTATTTTATTTTATTTTTTAATAATTTTTACATTTTATTAAATGAGTAGATGTATTCAATATCATAATTTCACATGAATAAAAAAATAAATCATTTTAATGATACATTAAGTTATATAAAAAAATGAGATAAAATAATTATCCCAATAGCATTTCCCTAATTATTTCTTCTTTTATTTTTTGGGCAAAAATCAACATTTAGCCCCTTACCTTATAAAATTAGTAGGTTTTAACCCTTCATCTTATAGCATGACAGTTTTAATCCTTTATTTTAAAAAGTTGGTAAATTTTAGCTCCTTACCTTACAAAGTTGGGAGGTTTTAATCATTTACTTTATATTATGATATTTTTAGCCCATTACCAATATGAATTAAAGAAAATAACCCTCATCTAATATCAGGTTATAACATTTTGTTAGTTGATTGTTAACATTTGTTAACATTCCGTTATAAAAAAAATATATAAAATTTAAATTCAATTTTATTTGTTAGTTTCATTAACGGAATGCTAATGGATGCTAACAGTTAACTAACAGAACTAACAATTAGTTAATAAAACTAACAGTTAGTTAACAGAACTAATATAACATTAAAATTCGATGTTAAATAAAAGTTATTTTTTTCAATTCGTATAGATAAGGGGTTAAAAGTATCATAATATAAGGTAAGGAGCTAAAACCTACCAACATTGTAAAGTGAGGGATTAAAACGTACCAACTTTGTAAGGTAAAAGATTAAAAATGTCATATTATAAGATTATGGGTTAAAACTTATCAATTTTATAAAATGAGGGGCTAAATATTGAGTTTAACCTTATTTCTTGTACTTATCCGGTAGCTTTTGGTTGACAAGTGAATTTAGGTAAATTTAATAGTCTATATCTCCACC